TTTTCCTTTTCCTTCTTCATCACTTTCTTCTTTCTCTTCCTTCTCTTATCAATATCTTTCTTTTCCTTTTCCTTCTTCATCACTTTCTTCTTTCTCTTCCTTCTCTTATCAATATCTTTCTTTTCCTTTTCCTTCTTCATCACTTTCTTCTTTCTCTTCCTTCTCTTATCAATATCTTTCTTTTCCTTTTCCTTCTTCATCACTTTCTTCTTTCTCTTCCTTCTCTTATCAATATCTTTCTTTTCCTTTTCCTTCTTCATCACTTTCTTCTTTCTCTTCCTTCTCTTATCAATATCTTTCTTTTCCTTTTCCTTCTTCATCACTTTCTTCTTTCTCTTCCTTCTCTTATCAATATCTTTCTTTTCCTTCTCCTTCTTCATCACTTTCTTCTTTCTCTTCCTTCTCTTATCAATATCTTTCTTTTCCTTCTCCTTCTTCTCTTTTTCCATTTTTCTTCTTTATTGCAATTTTTTCTTTTTGTTCCTTATCTTTCTGTTCTTATACAATATACATCTCCTCCTTATTTTTTTAGTTTCTTTTTCTCTCCTTAATCGTTCCTTTCTTGGGGGCTCTCTTTACTTATTTCTCTTCCTACCCTTTATCTTTCTTATCTTTCTTTCTTTTTCACCTCTTTTTCATCCTTATTCTAAATCTAAATCTTTTTTCTCACCCCCCATATATCCTGGACTAACCAGGGAGAGATACGTTCGGTTTCTTCTATTTGAATTCAACCGCGTTTTTGGTCTTTAGATCAACAATCTTTAAACTTGCAGAGTTTTGCATTTTCCAAAAAAATTTTAGAAGAAAAGGTGAAAATTTTATGTTCAATTGGTCAAAGTGTCATTAAAGTCACATTTTGGTAGGATCAGGACCATTCATAGCATTCCTAAATACTTTTCTCTTCTCCTATGTCTTCTCTTTCCGTTTTTCTCCTTTATCTTACGTCTTTTCTTCCTTCTCTTACTAGTTCTCTTTTTATCTTTTTTTCGTATTTTTTATTCTTATTATGATTCAAATTCCCTCAAAATGTTTTAGCCCATTCGGTCCAGCCGTTTGGCCGGCTATAGGGAACATATATGTAAGTGTCTTGCTTTATTAGATAGATTTTTAATAATTAATATAAATATCTGAAGTTAACAATATTGAGAAATTAAGAATAAAATATCATTAGTTTGTTGATGAAAAGAATCCTTTAACAATGTGACGGTTTATGGAAGCTCAATAATATTTTTTTTAAATTCAAATTAATAATTAACTAATTTTTTGTTTTTTTTTATAATAATAATAATAATAATAATAATAATAATAATAATAATAATAATAATAATAATAATAATAATAATAATAATAATAATAATAATAATAATAATAATAATAATAATAATAATAATAATAATAATAATAATAATAATAATAATAATAATAATAATAATAATAATAATAATAATAATAATAATAATAATAATAATAATAATAATAATAATAATAATAATAATAATAATAATAATAATAATAATAATAATAATAATAATAATAATAATAATAATAATAATAATAATAATNCCCCCCCCCCTCCTCCCTCACGGCCTGCCTTTCATTTGTATTGCGAAAGTTTAAATGAGTTTGAATTGTTTCATTTTCCTTACTTTAAATTCTATAAAACTGTTGAAATCTGTCCTTTCACTGTTGTTTATTCTTCTTGTACATACATCTGAAATCAAGCCAAAATCCCGCCACACGTCACATCGGGTCCATTTTATTGCATGTATTTTTTACTAATTTTTGTGTCAAACCTTAGATGTGACATGTGACTCAGCCATTGGCTTTAATTTTACAAAAACATGTTCGGCAGAGCATGATATTTTGCACATGCAAAAACAGGATTTCGCCAGCTTTACAAATCAAACTTAAGGGGCGGGGGGGGAGAGATCAACGCGCGTCACGGTTTTTATTGTTTTGATCATGACACTTAATTACAAAAATGCCGCGTTGGGAAATAATTTTCATTTATCGTCTTCAACAAAATTTGTTTTTCTCCGTCAACTTTGAGAATTTAAAAATTGCGAACCATATTAATAAAAAAGACCGTCACTTAATCCCCATGGGACCCCTGTACACCCTGTGTCATAATGTTAAAATATGTCTTAAACATTTGAAAATGTAAAGTAGTTAAATTAATCTGAATGAAGGGCGTATCTTGATATAAAATATGTAATTAAAAATTGACACCATAAGATATGATGCAAATTAACACATTAAAACATCTTTTTTTCTGAAAACGTGTTTCATTTTATATAAAAAAATCATATCTTCAAGGTTAATTTAAAAATTTAAAAGATGAATAATATCTAACAAATTCTACAATTTAAATTACATTTCAAAGTTTCATTAAACTTAAATTCACATTTTTATTTTCATTCCTTCCTTCAAATCCCGGTAGATAATATTCTTAAATTTAACTAGAAATATCCAAATAGATTATCAAGTACAATAGGTAGCAACAGAGAAATGAACCAATTAAACACAACGTCACAAGTGTCAAATATAACAAGGAAAACGAAATTTTCTCACATTAGTTGACATGTTTAATCAAGATTAAAAAAGGTGTAAAAACAAAAAATAAAGAACACATTTAATTGCACTTATTTTACTTTAAGATTCTAAAATTATCATTATATTATTAAAGATTTTTTCGGACGCAAAAACTCAACAGACACTGTGAGGTCAGAATACAGGTGTACTGAGAGTGTACGTATTCTACGTTGCCATCTATTGTACTAGAAAAATAGTTGAGGCACACATTTTCCGTTTCT